TGGTAAATACCAGGCTTGGTTCCTTTAGCTACTACATAGAAAGAAAAACTTTTAGGCAGGGGCTTGTTTTGGATTTTTGAAAAATATATACTGAGAGAGTTTAGGGCTGAAAGGCGCTTAGCTGGGTGGTTTTGGCTGGTCCAAAGGTTATCTAAAAGACACTGTTGAACTGGGTCTAACTCGATCCCTGTTAAGGGTCTGAACTTGGTTCTGCCTTCATGAATGGGAAGAGAAAATCCCCCAAAGTTCATGGTCTTGCTGTTCTCCATTATCTGCACAAAAATTAAACTGGTTATCTTCTTTTTCTAAATAAATTTTTCTACTTAACCAGTCTGTTAATTTATTATCGTTTCCTTTAATATGCTCAAATTCTACTTTATATCCCTGCCCTACTATACAATCTAAAAATTTTGCCCATCTTCTAGTACTTAATTTACGCTCGTTTAGTTTGTTATGAAATCTAACTATGGTTTCACAATCTGTCCTTATTGTAAAAGGTTTGTGCAAAAATAATCTGAAGTTATTTATTGCGTATACTACTCCTAGTATTTCAAAATCTAGGCTGGTCATAGTTGTATCTTTTTCTTTAAATTTTCCAAAACTATATCTACAAATGCGTTCTTTATTTTTACTGTCATAATAATATTGTTCCCCATCCTAATTGACTTGCGTCTGTTTCTACAACTATGTATTCAGATTCTAAGGGAAGTTATAGGTCTGGTAGGTTTTTACAAATTTATTATACAAGTTACAAATATCTAAAATCATACAAATCATGCCACATCATCTGTTAATACACTAATTTGTATATTAATTAGTACATATAGCATTATTTATATCCAAAATTTCTAAAATTATATCACATTATCTATTAATATATTAATTAGTATATTAATTAATACATATAACAATATTTTTAATTTTTTATCCACGATTTTATAAAAATTCATTCTATTTAAATATTGAAACTAATTTGAATCAAATTATTTAAATACATTCAATTTAAAATTATGATTTGACATAATCGGTTTATAAAAAAAATAATTATATAATATTTTCATTTCAACATTAATTTATTCATAATTTTTTGAAGTATAAATAGGTATATTATTCTACTTTTAACTTAAACAAACATAATATATAAGAAAATAGGATTATATACATCATGATATATGATATGTATATAATTTAAATTATATACTATCTGGGTTGGTTCTAATTCGGACACGTAAACTCTAATCCAAAATCGATCTGTAAAAATTAGATTTCCAATTTTCCAATCTAAAACAAAACCATAGATTTAAAAATCAATTTTAACCTATTAAATTGGATTAGACCGGTTGGGATTGTAAAATTTTCAAATTTCTTACTCAACCTACTATTTGCTTGCAAGGACTTCAAAAAAAAAAAAAAAAGAAGATTTATTTATATTCTGAAGGCGTTTTCTAACACTTACTCAAAATTTTCATTAAATTTAAGTGAAAATTTGATAAAAAAAATTGATCTAATATAATCATCAATTCCAGTAAGTCGTCCAGCCTAAAGTAAATATTCAATTGAAAAACATATTGTGCCGCCAAAATCCCATCGTTTGGTCGGTCATTGACAAATGGTCATGTGTAAAATTTAATAAAAGACTAAAAAATACATACCTAATGAGATAGCAAATACGTCTTTAGAAAATTTAGAAACAGAAAATTATGATTTAGAAGAATTTGATTTTGAAAATAAGGAAGATTATTGGAACCTAAAAGATTTTAAACAACCAGCTAATTTAGAATTAATTTTTGCAAAAATTTAATAATTTGTGTTTTTTTTTTTTTCTTGTAACATCTTTCTCCTTTGATTTTTTTGCATTCGCATGATTAGCTGTGTAAACACAAATATAAAATATAAAATTCAGATAAATATAAAGACAAGTTTATTGAGCAATGATATATCCCTCTAATTTTGAAACTTTAATTAAACTCTAATGATGCGGTGGAGAATAAAAAATAAAAAAACTAAAATGAAGGCCAAAATATCACATCACAATGGAATTCACTCCCATTAAAATTTATTAGAGTTGCTTTATTAGAGCTCCCAATTATTTCTCTTATATATTATACTGTCAAAATCGCCTGACCGTGTTAAACAACATCAAATCGCGCATTTTGAAAGTTCAGATCGGACAAGTTAGATGATGCAGGTTTTGACTTTTGCAGGCCATTATAGTTTCAGAAAATAATAATAATAATAATAATAATAATAATAATAATAAGCCACTTACTGGCCCGAAATGGGTGCTCGCGGTTCAGTTGTGATTGAAAAACTTTTAATTTGTCATTCATCTGTTAGATTGGTAAATTATAAATGTTTCATTTGGGAAGCCAAAAGTCAGGTTTTTCTTAATTAAAATAGACATAAAAAACAAAATAAATTTTTTAGTCTAATAAGATAAAATATTACATCCAACTTATAATTAACATTTTTTTCTCACAAAAAAGTCAAAAAAGCCAAAAGCTCTTTCCAAACTATACTTTTTAGCCACAGACTAAAATAGCCAAAAAAGTCAAAAAGTTAAAAAGCCAACCCACTTCCCAAACGAAGGCAAAAAATGAATTCGCATTTGTCAGCCGAATTAGCAGATGCGGATTGACGGATGGATGTGAATCGGTTTAACGGTTTAAACTTTACAAATTTTGAATATAATACAAGAACTTGTCAATATTTTTATTAGAAAACAATCAAACTCAACATAACTAAAAGATTATAAAGTAAATTATCAAATACCAATAATAAATACATATAAGAAAACCATGCATTATCCAAATTATTCCATTGCTGTTTTTTTATTCAAAAATTGTTTAATTTAATTTTTTTTAAAATACAAAATTATACCTTATATTTTTCACACAAAAATATTAAATATAAACACTTGTCATTCGATAAAAGGATTTTTAAATTGAAAACACAAATAAAATATCTAAACAAATTAAAAACACAAAGTCTTACAAATTACTAGGGGTGCTCACGGTTTAGTAGTTTGGTTACGGCCAAAGGAATCTTAAATCTGCTATTCGTCCAAAATTATGCGAATTAGAAAAAATAATCTGTAACTGTCCGCTCATCATCACGCATCCATCCAAAATGCAGCAGATCGATTCCATTTGGTCGATTTGGGCATATCAAAATATTCACTGAGCACCCTAACAACTCGATTTGACCCGATATTATTCAGCTTGTTTGGTTCTAATTTTCAGAAAACAGTTTTTAGAAAATTCTATTTTTCATTTTTCGTATTTTAATGTTTTAAATGATTTTTTTTTCATATTTTAAGTAATTTTTTTAAAAAAATTTAGACACACCTAACATAAATACACATAAAAAGTATAATATTTGGATTTTTTTTTAAAAAAATAAACTAAATAACAAAAAATACAACAACAAAAAAAAATAAAAATGAAAATGTAGTACATTTTTCATATTTTTGTATATTTATTAATTTTTTAAAATATTTGTTCACAAATATTTTACTATTTAGATACATCTAAGTAAAATACATCTAAAAAAGTAAAAAAAAATTACTTAAAATTTTAAAAATAATCAATAAAAATAAAAAAATACGAAAAACAAAAAACATAATTTTCAGAATACTGAATTCAAAAAACTAAAACCAAACACACTGATTATTATTATTATTTTTTAAGGTAAATTATAAATACATATTTCTGAGTGTTGATTAAAATACGAATCATTTCTTATGATTTTGGAAATTACATTCCACCCTTGAGGTTTTTAATTTGATAACAAATCGTTTATTTTATTAATAAATCATCAAATCAATTAATAATTTTTAAAAATATTAAAAATATGTTTCAATTAATAATTTCAGTAATTTTATTATTGTATAAAAACATAATTATAATTTTATTTTTTAAATTAATTCTGTTAAATAATTTTTTTTGATAATAAAGTATTGGGCAAATTACAAACACCCCACTCGAGGTTTGGTGAAAATACAGATTTCTCCCTGAGATTTGAGAAATTACATCCCGCCCCTGAGGTTTATATTTCTATAACAAATTGCCACCTGAGATTTTTATTTTCATACAGATTCCCCATAATTTTTCCTAATTTGTTATGAAAATTTAACCCTCAAGGGGTAATTTGTAATTTCTCAAACTTCAAGAAAAAATCTGTATTTTTATCAAACCTCGAGGGGTGTTCGTAATTTGCCCTAAAGTATATATAATTTTAAAATTAAAATTTTTTATATTTTAAACAAATCTAGAGACGTGTTTATAATTTAAACTAATTTTTATTAATTCACCGTGTACATACAAACACTCACACGCGATCAATTCTCAATTAACCTCCTTTTTCACACTCCCAACCCAAACATCTCATCTCAGCTCATCTCATTCAACTGTCTCCTCTCGTTCTTCCTCAGCTCGCCGATCGCTGCCGCCGCCGCTAACCTTGCCGGTCACCGTCTATCGGCTTCTTTGCCGGTCGTCACCGTCGATTGCCTCTTCTCAGGTCACTTTCTGCTGTATTCTCTCTCTCTGCTCTCTCTTAGTGATTGTATTATTTTTATATTTTCTGGATAAGAATGTATATTTTATTTTTGTATATTCAGTGATGTTTTGTTTAGTTTATTTTATATTTCCTGTAAAATCAACCTTTTAAATATTCTACTTTCAAGACAATATTCTTCTTTAAGCAGTGTTTTCATGCTCTGTTTGTTTGTGGACAAAAACCTAAAAGCTAATAGCTTAATGTTATACTATTCTTCTGTTTTCTGCTCTGTTTGATGTTGGATGTTGTTATTTTTTTTAGTGTTTATTGCCTTGTTAGATTGTTATTGTATAATTTGTTTGGATTGTTGGATTTTTAGTTGACTAGTTTGTCAATGTTAAGTGTTAGATGAATGGACATCTATTTTAATTTTGACTATTTTAGTTAATTTATAAATTAGTTTTTTTTTTTTTAAAAAAAAATCTTTGGTTCAACTTTTGTAATTTGAATTATGTTTTTTTTTTTTTTTAAATAAATAGCCAATCCGCCTCAACCACCAAGTCAAAACCACAATTATTTGTCAACTGAACCATCGGTTTTTGATAAACAAAACAGCAATTTCTAATGTCAATTTTGTCAATCCACCACCCGTCGTGTGGTTTCTATTTTACCCCTAAACTGCACTGACCCGCACCCTGCACACCCCTACTAACAACTATGCGTCTGAACGTATTATCATCATCATTATCAGCTGCAAGCTGCCATCATAAAATTTTCTAGCAACCAAGAACAATCAACAGTCTAAACCCTGAAGTGTTCAAGTCTCAACAAGCTCAAGAAAATCTGCTAGATCAAGCTCAAAACAGCTATGCATCTGAATCCAAACTTGTTTATGCACCAAACTACAGAAAATTTTTGGAATCCTTGTGTGTTTTGATTCATATTACTATTTGAACAGCAATAGCAACTTCCCATTTGGATAGAAATTTATCATAAACAAAGGATGAAATTCTCCAACAGAACTGTGAGGACTTAAAAATGATGAATGCAGTATAACTAACCAGGACACCAATCGTGCATCAGAAGCAGCCTCCATCAAATTTTGGTTTTCAATAGCACTCAAAGGGACCCATGACAGAGTAGAATCCTTGAAACCACATGAGCGGAGAAATGTTCCAAGTTGCAGTTTAATTGTATCAAAACGTTCCTTGGAGTATTCCACAACATCCATTTTGTTAATTGCAACAATAACTTGATCAGCACCAAAACTTCTAATGAGTTGTGCATGCTCCCTTGTTTGCCCCCCAGTGCTGTCCATGCCTGCTTCAAATGAACCGATCGAGGCATCTATAACAAGAATTGCAGCATCCGCTTGTGTTGCCCCAGATATCATGTTTGGCACAAAGTCTTTATGGCCTGGAGAGTCAAGCAGCACAACGTGATACCTTTTGGAGTCAAAATAGGCAACTGCCACTGTCATTGTTATTCCCCTCTCCCTTTCTTCAGCACTCTCATCTAAAGCCCATGCAAAAGCAAAGGAGCCCTTTCCCTGATAGATTGACAAAGAACTCATAAATCCAACCAACCAAGCTTTAACAACACAAAAGCTCACATAAACAGAAATGTAGTGAAGTTACTTGTACGTTAGCCTCCTTTTCATATTTGTGCATTTCCTTTTGGGATATTCGGCCCGAAAGGTACAGCAGCTTTCCCGACAGTGTTGATTTTCCAGAATCAACATGGCCGACCTAAGATGATAAATTAAAACATATGATATTTCAAACATGCTAAAAATAAATAAATAAATAAATAAATAATTATAAAAGAGTTGACTGCATGAAGACAAACAATGTAACTTGTGGATGACCAATGTTAGATGGTTGACTTACAATGGCAAGATTCAGTTGTGTCAATCTATCTTCTGCATGGTCAGGTAGCATCCATTTCTCAGGTTTATATTGAGCATGTGACACAGCTCTTCTAGCACTGACATTCTTTGAGGATCCAGATTTGACAGTATTCAGACTACTTGAAAGACTTTGTGACTGAACCTCATTCGACAGAGAATGAGTATCCTCCCCTATGCTACCATGTCTGTTATCTGATATAAATGCTGAAGAGGTATCAAAGCTTTTAGCATCTGATCGCAATTCAACTGCAATTTTCTTCTCTGTGACACTTGAAGGGACATCCGAAGAAGATAATTTGTTGACGTTGGCTGCAACATTAACGTAGGATTGTAATACAAGGATGTTAAACTCTAAATGAGGAATATAACAACGAAAAAAACCAACCCAAGCATGGGGAGACTCCGAAAGAGGATAAAGAAAACACAAAATACCACAAACTGAAACATGCTTACAAGAAGGAAAGCATACATCAAAATCACCACAATTGAATAGAATTAGAATACAGTTTTTTCTATGACGAGGAACCCCTCCAAGGCTGGGTCATTTTTTACCCCCATCCCTATAGGCAAACCCCATTTTTTTTTTTTTTTTTTTGGGTGAATAACAAACCCTAATTCCTACAGGCTACAACCACCAACAATACAATAGAAATCATGTAAGACTAAAGTAATCAATGCTGATGAGCATAGACAAATAAAAGTTTATGAAGCACCTGACATCACAAGTTCATGTGTTCAAAAAAAAATTAAAAACTAAGGAGGGGGAGGGCTAGGAGAAGACAATTTTTGGAAGTTCACATAGAGCCCACTTTGAATGGTTATTAATTTGTTTAGGGTTAATTTGAGTCTCTTTCATGTATTTCACGAGTTAAAACATAGCTAGAAAGATTTTATAAGGTACCATTAGGTTTTGGTAGTGGGAGGCCTACCAGTTTTGAGGCTAGAGAATCCTCCAACTATGAAAGACAGCTTCATTTTGATGTCCCTTCGATGTTGACACAAAAAGAAGATGGGGGAGGAGGGCCTAAGGCACAAGGTGGTAAGTTCTCTTCTTGGAGGCCTCTTCAGCTCAACACTATCAGGGGGGAAGCTAATGACATGAACAAATGGAGATCATCGAGGAAAGGAGGGGGATTGTGCGACTTGTGGAGTACTTCCTCCTATGCCTTGGGGGTAGGGTTGTTGCTGAACATACTGATATTGGGGATAGGCATAAGCAAGAAGAGATGGTAGGAATGTGTCATTTGTTGGAGCTATGGGTGAAGGTGGGGAGG